CCCCCGGGGGGGGGGGGGGGGGGGGTCGAGTTCCCGTGTTGCCTTGGAAGTTTTTTCTTTGTTTCCTTGTTGCACACGAAGAGTTCATCCTGTTCCCTTGCAGTGGTCTAAGTTAAGTATTTTTACCACTTGCGATTAGGGATCAAGTTTTCTGGAATCACTAATGATCTTATAAAATGTGATACAAACCTCCAGTTTTTGGATTTGTCCAAGCAGAGGCGCAGTTCACATGTAGCGGACATTCACTGAATATCTTTGAGAAACATTTCACCTTTAAACACAAAACATGCAGGGATTAATACAAGCACTTTTCTATATTACCGGTGTAAAAAAATCAATCTTCAATTGAGTTTTAAAAACTCGATCTTTCTCCGTAATCATATTTTTTCACCAATTAGGTGATGTGCAACCACTTCCATGGGATTCAAAGGACAAAGAGATTTTCGCCATGTTGGATGATATTTGCATTGCAAACAACATTGAACTAACTAAAAACAAGCAAAATCCTTTGTCAATGTCATGCAACATGGCGACGATCACGTAACTTGCACATCACCTATATCCCCAATAGCCTTGAAGAAATTGGCAAATGTGAATAATTTACTGCAAAAGGAAGAAAGTACTTGATCGTTGTATATTCTTCAACACGCCGTTAAAAACGTGTCTTAGAAGGTTACACTTTTGCTCAAAAGTGCAGTCTGAGTGCAGGAAATATTAATATTATTTCATAGAGACAAAACCAACAATTTTAACGCGCATGGGAGATTTTGGTGCAAGTAAGGGAGTGATTTTTCTGTGTTGGTGTTGTGTACTCAGGTGAATAATATGTTTGCGATGTTACTCTGAGTGCATATCCACACCGGACGAGCTTGAAAAATATGCCCGGCCACGGTGGGATTCGAACCTACGACCTTTGGAATACCAGCCCAATGCTCTTCCAACTGAGCTACGCGGTCAGGATGGTTCGAGTAAGTGATATTGGGCTGGTATTCCAAAGGTCGTAGGTTCGAATCCCACCGTGGCCGGGCATATTTTTCAAGCTCGTCCGGTGTGGATATGCACTCAGAGTAACATCGCAAACAAAGAAAGGGAGTGTTCTCCTTCTAAAGTTCAATCTTCTTCCAAAAAAAAATTGTAGTATATTAAAATGCTTGTATTAATCCCTGAACATGATTGAGAAAATTCATAATCTGGAGAAAAGATGAGACAAGTGGCTTACCGGGGAATTGGAAAGTCGTCTGTTTGCGCTCAGTCTTGGCGGCGGTCTCTGAAATTTTTAAATGTCATTATTATATTTCCGCTTCATGGGCCGCTGGTTCAAAGCACTAACCCTGGGTTAAAACATAACCAACTATTCTGGTTTTGTACGTCACAACGTCTGCCGATCTATTCTACTCGAAAACTATTTCCAAGTTTATAAACAAGCCGTTGGGAGCTCTGAGTCTAGAATTACTGTAAGCAAATGGACCATTTGCATTATAGACTAAATTTTGATCTAGACAAAAATTTCATCACAGCTTGAAAGAGCATCACAAAATTAGTAATATTCCAAAGTTTCGTTGCGAAATGTTGTAGAATGCGGATAATATAACCTTGCGAAATTTGCAATTTTCAGTCATTTTGTATTACAAACGGGAAATTGATGCCCCAACACCTGATTGGGCTGTCAATTTCCCGTGCGTAATGGCTAAATGATACAAAATGGCTGAAAAACGGCAAACTTCGCATGGCTATATTATCCGCATTCTACAACATTTCGCAACAAAACTTTGGAATATTACTAATTTTGTGATGCTCTTTCAAGCTGTGATGAAATTTTTGTCTAGATCGATCAAAATTTAGTCTATAATGCAAATGGTCCATTGTTAGTGAACTAGTTGACAAATTTAAGTTCTTACGACTTAAGCAATGTTATGTTCGGCGTGTGAAAAGTGAGACGGTTGAATTAGGTGTAAAAATAAACACAGCAAGCGCTTTCATTGGCATACTATTTATTTTATAATTATCTGATTTCACTTACCGGTGGGGGGACATTAGGGGGTGTTGGAGATGATTGACCATCATTGTAGGATCGCGGGGGTAATAGAGGGGGTTTATTTGATTTTGAACTGGGGAGACCTGGGGAGCTTGGTTCTACGACTGATAACCTGGCGGGTTTGGGGGGTAACCTCGGTGGGGCATTGTCTTCTTGAGCGGGTGCCTGTCATGAAGAAATATAAATATAAAAGTGAAGCAAGTTCCTGGAACAATTTTCGTTTCCTCTGCAATGTTCCCAACGGTAAACAAAAGAGGAAACATTCCTGGAAACATCTAAATTTTCAAATACTTCTTCAAAACAAAGATTTATTCATGCATTTCTTCATAATTAAGGAATACCTTGGGCAGAGGACGTGGACGAGCTTTCTTATCATCCTCTCGTTTTATTGTTCCATCGTCATCATTCGTGGCATCATTCGAACTTCGTTTGACTGTTACGTTTTCTTTCGATTCTTTAACCACACCGTTTTGTCTAATGATGGAACACACAAAAGATATAGCGCCCCATGTCTCTTACTATGCGCTTGCATGACTTGTGGTTAGAGCTCAACAACTGGCCTCTGTAGCTCAGTTGGTTGCTGTCGATGCAATAGAAGTGTTGATAAAATATTGCACCAATTCCTTTCCTCAAGTTGATCAACTCATTTGATAGAAAATTGATCAACTTCCTGTTACTTCTAGACGAGGCAATTAGATTTCGTTTCAGAACCAATCGACCAATAGGAAACGCACAGGAAGTAAAAAGAAATTTGAATTCGTATGAATTGATCAACTTGAGGAAATGAATTGATGCAATATTTTATCAACACTTCTATTGCATCGACAGTAAAACGCTGCACCGGATTGGCAGGGCTGCAGGTTCGCAACAGCTTCTGGTTAAGTCTAACAGATATAAAAAAATCAACCCTTCAACAATTATTCCTATCCAATTATTACCTGGAGGCTCCTACACTGGCATCTTGTACATCAAAATCATTCAAAAGTTTCTTGATAAGATCTTCGTCATCCTTAAATCATTTAAAGATCAAAATTGATTGTTACTCATTACAACAAAAAGTCTTCTAACCAGACTTGTTAACTTACAGTACCTCGGGATAAGAAGGCTGAATATCAGGCTGTGTTTCTCTTTTTACCAATGGTCCCAGTTCAAGCATTCCTACTGTAAAACAAAGCTATCGTTAGCGGTTTGTCTTGAAATTTTATAATATACTTCATGTTTTCTTATAATTTAACATTCACATGATTTACCACTTTGCTAAAACCCCGATTGTGGGAATAGGACCTTCGAAACCTGTTCTTGCGTCTCTAGGCAATACATTCAGTACATTACCGTGCATTAGGCTTGGACGGTTTACCGGTTTTTCGGTTTTATTTTCAAACCGGTTTTTTCGGTTTAGCTTTTACAAAAACCGGAAAACCATCATTTCGTAATTGTTTACTGTCATCGCCCGAAACTCGATCTTAATTCTCAAAAACATGAAACTAATTAAACTCAATTACATGACACTAGATACAAATTCTATTCTTTTTCCGTAAAGTCGGTAAGAACTAAAGAGTTATAAGTTTTCAAATGCGTTCTTGACCCCTTTATTTTAAAACTGAAGTCGTTTTAGGTTACCTTTACACAATTTTGCGTTTTGTCGTGTACTGTTTGTTTGCTTATGTCACAAAAAATACCACAATTCCTCCTCATTCAGTTGAAGTACAAATTAAAGGGGGGAAAACGGTTTTGCCGGTTTAGAATCTGACGGTTTTTCGGTTTTGATTTTAAGAAAAACCGCCCAAGCCTACCATGCGTGTGCTATACTTACAGTTGATGTCAGAATTTGTTCTCGAGACTCTTCTTGCAGTGTTTTTCTTTGACTTGATTCGCGTTAATACGTTAATTTCCTGTAAAACATAATGCGTTTCAACGGTTTGATTTTTGGGCTTCAATAGTCCAATACACATGGCAGTTTTGTATGCATGGGAATGTCTGATTGACAACAGAAAAAAGGGGAATAGAGAGGGATTCGACTATACCTGAAAAACACAAGTAAAACTTCGACGTAAACTAAACAAAAAATAAACCAAATTTTTTCCTCATGTGATTGCTTTTATACAAACTTCCCGACGAAAAGCCTTCGCTCGAAACGTCGAAGTTCTCCTTGTATTTTTCAGGTAGTTGTATCCCTATCAATCCGAAGCTTTCAAGATTATTGCCACTACCTACATTGGCACAGACAGTTCGAGATTATATGATTGACGACAGTTTGATAGACAACAGTTTGATTGACTGAATTGAAGAGAGAATTAGAAAACTGACCGTTTTATCTTCATCTTCTTCATCTTCATCCTGGCCATTTTGATATACACCTTTCTCCTCTTTTCTTGCTGTGTAAATATCTAACAACCCTTGACCTTGTTTACGTGTCAAATTTTGACAACAAAATGGATGCTGAAAGGTTCAGAAGCTCATTAATAATTATTTATGTAAAACACACCTAATATGCAGCGTGGAGTGTGCCAGTATTTGTAGGTACTAGCGTGGTCTGCAATTTTTGAAAATAATTGTATAGGGCAGTAAAAATTCTTAATTCACATCCTGATATTATACTCAGTCATCGCTGTCTCTCTACAGTACATCCCCATAAAAAATTACAATCAACATCCCCCCCCCCCCCCCCCCTCACCTACCACATTACAATCAAGACGTATGTTGTCTTACCGTTAGTAACTTTTCAGCCGGGGGTCTTTTCTTCGGGTTCTTTTGTAACGACGTTTTGATAAAATGATGCATTTCGTCGGTCCTACGAAACACATGAAGGCATTTGTGGATTTGTTTACATACACTATAGTGTTAACATAACTGGAGCAAGGTTAAAAGGGTAATCAATAACAACTATTAAACGCTATCAAAAAGAACCAACCATTTTGATTTTGTCTTCAGTGTCGGTGAACTGTATCCCTTCTTCGATATTAGATGGAGCGCCCTTTAGGAAGAGAAGAAAATAGGAGTAGTTAAAAAGAGTAAACAATGTACAGTGTGAAGAGCATGTTGATAATTTTGAGCCGGTTTTATCATCTGTGAAAGTTCATGAAGAAAACACAAAAGAAATCATGAGCGTGAAGGAGTTTGTATAGCTGATACAGAATCATGCATGCTGATTTAGTATATAAATTTTAAGTTTAATTTTCTCACCAAATATCATTCATTTATTTTAAATTGTTGAAAAATACGACTGTTCTCATCAAGACATTTCACAAGCCAATTTACATCTCACGTTTAAATGAATGAAAAGTTGCTTTATTTGTACTTACAATAAAACTACACTAACGCATTTGTAGCAATGATAACGAGCAGAAATAAAGCTAAGTCAGTTTCATGCACAAACACAGATCAAGGTAAGGAAAAACCAACCTCATTGGGTGCAGTTCAAACAACGGAGGTTGCAGCTCAGCCAGTTCAATTGCAGTGATACCAACTGCCCAAATATCACACTATATACAAGACAATACATATTGCACGGTTAACCTGAGTATTTTTCAAGCAAGAGAAGTCTGTCTCATACCCATGTACAGGTTAATTGCAGGGTCAGGGTTGCACCCATTTCCACTGAAGGGTATAAGTATACCCTCGGCCAATGTATTTTCTGGGAACTCAAAAAATTTTCTGGGGACAATGGTCCTGCGGTGCGATACATTTTCCAGCCTTCGCCTGAACATCGTTAATATCTACATTACCTTCTGGTCATACCCTCCTGTCCTCTCGACAGCCGCGACTTCGGGGGCCATCCTGTATACACAGAATATAGTTTTCAAGACTATTTTACGCATACTAAGCCTGGCTTACCCTATCAACGTTTCTGTGATCACAGTAGGAATTTTGCATTGATAAATTATAAGTTTTGAAGGATTTGTAAGAAATGTTTGAGGGAATTGACTTAGTGTTTAAGACTGAGTTAGTTCCCTCAAACATTTCTTACAAATCTTAGTTGGTCTAGTTGGT